AACAGCTCAAACAACGAAAACACTGTAAAAAGCACTGCTTTTTGGTTGTCAGTTCGGAAAAAGTGGTGTTTAGAGAAGGGAATTGCCAAGGAAATCCCTTATGAAAGAGCTAGAAATAACGACAATCCAAATGAAAACTGTTATGGCCTACCAGCTTGTGGTCTAATTTCCGTTATCCTTGGTTCCAGATGACCAATCTCTGCTTGAGGTGCATGGTGATAAAAATGGTGTCGATGGCTGCTTGGGAATCCTAGAAAATCGATTGAAAGTGTTTTTAGAGGCAAATTCAGGCTTAGCATATTAAATATCATCATGACAATTTGAAAAAGGTTGATGAAAAAATTTTCACGGGGCAAAGCAGCTAAAATAAAGTAAGAGGAGAATGAAAGTTGCGAATAAAGGGAAGGGAAATACGAAAATGGAAATTGGCCCTACCAGCTAATCCGTTGGTTTGAAACACCATGGAGTACGTCAACCGGGCGTTTTCCAGTTCTCTTTGATATTTTGCCCTCAACTCAGCTCCTTTTCTCTGCTGTCTCAGTAAGGCAACACGTGCGGCGGTCACTCGCTGTCTCTCGGTAATAAGTTGGCACTTTGCACAAGTGCAGTCCCTCCAACGGCAATAATGTTTGTGACCCTTGAGCCAAGAAACTGTGCCATGCGTGCGACAGCGAGCACATTTCGGAACTCTGTGATGAAGAGTAGAAGAAGTGCTGGTCTCTTCCTCTTCTTGATTTTCGGGCTCCTCTTTGGTGTCACTCATAATTCTGAACTATAAAAAAAGATAAAGAGAGATTGTAAGAGGGGAAGTCTAACCTCATCTGTGAAGTCCCATTACAGGGAAATAAAAAAAATTGTAAACTGCTCAGGTAGACTTATCAGTCATTCCTCTTTAGATGTGAAGCACTGTTATAATTGCTTAAGATCGTATCCAAAATTGGCTTAAGAAACAATTATTCACCGTACCAAAAAGAAGATGGTCATTTTTTATGCCTAATGATTTTAATGAACATTGATGTTTATCAGTAAATGACACAGCATAATTGTTTACAGTATTGATTCTTGATAAGTACAGAGTAGATATAGGATCAGAACAAATGTGTTAAGAGTTACTTAGCATATTCCCTATTTCGATGTGAAACCTGTCCTAAAGTGTAGAAAAAAAACCTTAGAGGAGAGCTAGATGTGAAAATCTAGTGAAAAACAAACACGCCTGAATAATTCTGACCAGTAAACACCCTTGATTACGGATAAAACTCTTAAGTTTGTATACTTAATAACAGAAAACGGGTGTTTTACAAGTCAAAATCAAGAAGTATTGTTTGAAAAAGCCTTGAAGCTGTGAAGATTAAGAACACTTTTCGACTCTTTAAATGGACTGCGGTTAGATCAATAAAAACAGCTGAGAAAGGCTCCTATTGCAAAGAGGTCCTAAAGAAAACACAAAAATATCATAGATATTACTACTTAATAAGTTCAAATACGGACTCCAGCCACAGTAGTTGAACCAAACTGATATTTCTTTGAAACATTATACACGACTTCTTGAAAATGAATGACTCAACTGAATTTGTTGTTTTCCACTTTCTTGTTTCATTTTGTATCTCGTTTTTTAAGTTGTTTTTACCTAATCCTCACGTTAAGCCAAGTAATGAATAGACAATTAGTCAATACCGAGAGTTTGACAAACAAACTTTATACGGAAATAAAATGTCATCTTATTGAAAGTTTGGGGAACAATTGGACCATTTTTAAAGGAAATTTCCATAATAGAGAACTTTCCAGCCAGCTAAGAAATTCCTTTCGCAATACCGATTGACTGTCGTCTTTTCTGTTATTCTACTTCTTTTTTTGTTGTTGTTTGTGTTTTGCTACAGTTTTCCGATAACTCTACCCTTAATGGCTATCTTTTGTCTCAGTCGAACTCAGGATTAGTATATTGTTTCAAAAGGAGTCATTTTTGATAAAAAAAAATCTTATCCTATATCATATGGGAAGCCAAAAATTTAACCGTGCAGAAGAAATACGATAAAGGCTGGAAAGTATAAAACAAATTTGAATCTTTTTGAGCAGAGACGTGTTTAGGAGACATTGTACCAAAATTTCTACTTCTCTTTGTTGAATAGCCGTACCTGCATAGTCTTGACTTCACGATATTTTTCAGGAATGACTACAATTTACTTTACGAGGTGAACAAGTGAAACTTCGAGTACCTTGGCCCTTTTCATTGTTCGTATATATCATTAGTTGAACATTTGTCTGGGCGCTAAAACATCCTGTAATCTGATAACTGGCAAAAAAAATTCAATTTTAAACAGTGTTTTTAGAGCTTGAGTCTCAATAAAATAAGTAAAAATTTTGAAACAGAGTTCTGGGTTGTTCATGACAGTCCGTTTCTTGAAATACTCAACTTTTTTTTTGACTACAGAATGTTGTTTTCGTGGTACACGGATATTTGAAGAAAAAAAGTTCGCGATGTTTCCATTTGTTGTTGTTGTCAAACAAATATTTTCTTGGAATCAATTCTTTTTTTTAAAGAATTTAAATTTACAGATACAACTTCTAACAATCAGACTAACAGTTTCTAGAAGGTTAGTTATAATTATGAATCTAGAGCCAGAAACTATTTAAGAAGCTTATAGGTGATGTGGAAAAAGCGACGGAACTTTTCACATGTCAGTATATAAAATTAAAAAACAAGACTCGGAGACAACACTAGGCGCCACAGAATCTGCAGCACTGCATACTTGTACAAAGAGTTGATGATATTTCGCAAGGAGAGCTGACTAATTTACGAAATATTGTTAAAATATTAACCAGGAAACAATAATTTGTGTTTTCCTAAAGCTGCCCAATTATAAGTAGAAAAAATAACTAGCTTGGGAAACAAACTAACTTGATATTGTATGGGTTTAGAAATGCTGCGTTGCTTAAAGCTGTCTTTGAAGCATTAAGACTTCATACAAATAACTGAAAATTAAGTTGCAACACATAGCATTGTTTTCGATCGAATTGACTTTTAAAAAATCCGTCGAAGTAAAATTTATGGTAAATTATGTTTTACATCAGAAAGTAAACAGGAACTTTAAAACCCCAATATGTTGTCATTTGTTAACTAAATGTAGCGATGCGATGTGGATTTTAACAGCGTACATGATGTTACAATAAAGCCTCTTTGAATGTCAGATTTCATTTTGGTACAAGGCGATCGAGGGCAACCGAAAACCTCTTTTGAACAAGTGTTTAAACCTATTTTGATAAATTAGACGAGATGATTTCTTATTTCGTAATCGGCTAAAATTGATCCAGTGTAACATTGAAAATAGATTAGATTCAAAATCAGTGAAATTGTCTTAAACTGTGAGAGATGGCGTGGATCATATGGGAGATTCAGCATACAAGGTTAGTTTAGGCTCGCACTTCTTATACGTGGATTTGACAAATAATTGTTAATTGGAGGAAATCTCTGTCATACCTTGAACCCGTCGATGTACTTGAACTGTTGTTGGCGCAAAAGAAATCAAGGGTATCTACCACGAGGCAAAGATACGGTCACAGACCTCGAGGAAGTAAGCGTGATCTGAACAACTAGATGACAGAACTTTTCTTTGTTGCATAAATGTAGTTACCGATTCAACGGCTAAATATTTCGAGGGAGGGGCTTCATCCATTAGACTGTACTGGTGGATAGGTATAGAATTACGTGAAGCTTGCGCTATGTTAAAAGCTTTTCAATTTACCATCTGTCAAATTCAAATTCAACAAACTCAAAAGCACGGTACGTTTAAGATATATTGTTACCCGAATTTTCCGTAGTAAACTTCCAATGTCATCCGAGAACAAAAAATTGTACTCGTAACTTCCCGTACACCTGGTGTAAGAATACCCCGAACAGGAAGATGCGATGGCAGCTTACGAAAATTTATTTCAATTTAATAAGCAGCCTCCTTTGTCACTGGTATAAACGTTTACTTAAAGAATCATTAATACATTTGTGGTCCTTTTAACATAAAAGTTTTCACGTTGTTCCTCTGTTAACTTGTTTAACATGATAGGAGTTTTAGATGCTTCTGTTAAAATAATAAAATTGTCACAGTTGAAGTAAAAACATCTGCTACAAAAACAAAACAAATTATTGTCTTTAATTTCACTAAAATTATAATTGGATTGCACTTCTAGCCATTTTAAGGCTGTTTTGGCGCCATTTGAAGCCTTTGTTTTTAGCATAAGTTTAAAATTTTTCAGAGTAGTTGACAATTGCCTTTCTTAGTTGACATTTCTCCAAAAAAGTATTTTTGTTTTGGTCTTTTTGTTATGTAGCATTTGAAGTTAACGCTACGGCGTTCTATTTTACTGTTCCAGAAGTTACTGGAATTTTTCTTTCAAAAGAAAGAACGCTTATAATTTATCTTGAGAGACTTTTACTTGTTTATGAATACGTAAGGCAGGTGCAACCTGACTTTGAGATGGACAATTATTTTCAACTCCAAAGTGGCTTGGTCACCCGTTAGAATAACACTGGGGTACTAATTCGCCTCTGCTTTTGTTAAGTACTCAGAAATGAAATGTCTATGACAACCATTAGCATGACAAATGCCACAAGCAAGATTTTAACTAAGCCCAAATACTATGTTTCTCTGTTCCGTGAGGTAAATGACACTTCCTTCATTTGAGCTGGTGAATCCTCAAAATTATCAATCGCGAAAATGCAAAGTCGACGAATTTCATGGTGGTGTGATCAACGCAGACTCAATTTTTGTGGGTAATATTTAGAGGGATCATTTTCGCTTCGAGAAAATATCTCAGTTATTCCTTGGAAAGATTTCAAATTAACAAGTTTACTCGTATTTAAGTTTACAGTTTCCACGAAAGCTAAAGTTATTGTCACCAAAGTATTGTCCCTTTAGAAGTGTCGGATTAACCCGTTTGTAATAGTACTATGAGAGGTTGAATAAATGAACCAAAATGGTTACATTTTGAAGGTTTCAGTCTTATTCAATCTGCTAACTCTGTAAACAGCTTACGGCTTCAGGCACAAATCGTTCAGCGTGGCTAATATAGATTGCCCGAGGCATTTTCTAATGCCAGTAGCAGAAAACTTCGTTATTGCACGCAAATGTAAGCGCCGTGTCTTACCACCGAGTGTTTCAATATCCCTGAGTTTACGTCCGCATTTCTGAAAATTAAATGCTTCGGGACTTGGTATTGAATGTTCTTAATTGTTGGTGTACATGCGAGATAGATGGCTATATTGCAGCCCGTTAGTACTTTATGATGTTAGATTGTTCCAGACGATGAATGGCCGCCTCACGCGACAGCAAATCACGAAATCTACCTCTAAAGCTTGTGCTTTTTATTTTCAACAGCAGAACTGAGTTTCTAAAGAAACACCCATACGGTTCGGAATTTAATTTGCTGAGTTTTTATTAAGATGCACACTTACAAGACTAAATTCAAATTAATAAAATAGAGCCATGTATTGTTTTGATCCGTCGCCTGAGGGTTTTACGTCGTTTGTTTTTATACGCTTACGTGTCTGACACAAATGTTTCCATGTTAAACTTACTGAAATGGGTCAACAGGCTGAAGACACAGGCCTTCGACTCAGATGACATTATTTGCTGGGGATAGGGGCAATGTTATACGAAAGCGTGTCTAGGACCTAGAGGTCCAATTATAAAATAATTAATTCATCAATAAAGTTTTTCCGCAATTTTAAGGGCTCAATTTTTTAACATGCAGATGCGCCTTAATGTCCTAAACCTTAAAAACTTGAAATCAATTAGATTTGGTCTGGTTCGCGATTACTGGAGATCCAAGGACATTCGGTATCGTACTGATGTAATAGGAAGATCCTGTCATGGCTCAAAATGATTTCGTGTTACAATACAAGCTGTATTTCTTAAAGGAATATAGAACTTAAATTTCTTGGACTACAAGCTTTCAATTGTTTTGTATCCCCTCGACTTGATACTTTTGTAATGACTGCCATCTAACTATTTAAAACTCCCCTATAAGATCATCGCAATTTTCTATCTGTTAGTTGTTTGTTTCTTTCGGATCCGATTCAATTTTTCCGCTTCCATTAGCTTCAAAGGACATCTTGTCAATCTTGGATAGATTTCAACACGGGTGGTATCATTGAGTTAATCAACCCGCCTAACTATAGCTCAGCGAGATACCCGCTGTCCTTGGCTGACGCACGTGGTCTAAAATTTCATTTTCCCTTCTCGACGTTTTGTCAATTGTACTTAGTTTCTTTTGTTTCGTTCTAATAGAGAAGCAAAACGCGTTGGAAACGGAGGGATATCATTAGTAAGTCTTAATTTTTATCGCAAAATAGTTCAAATTTTCTCTCTAAAACGTTATTTTCTGTGCCCCAAGAGAATCTGCATGGAAATTTTAAATCCTAAGCAAGTAACAGCCTAGGTCTGCAAATTCCATACTTGTCCTGATATTGCTCGAAAGGTTTTATTATAAATTTCTCTCAGTGATATCAGTTAGTTTTAGATAACTTGAAGTTCACGCCAGAGTAATAGGTATAGCATCACCTTTTTGAAAACTTATTAAAGAAAAACTTCACGTAGTCGTCTCCATTGCAGTTCGTCTTGAATAATAAACAGGACGTAAGTCCCCAAATCGACCTGGTTGTAGTAATATCTTTCTAATTCTTTTACTCCGTCATTTGACGATAATTTCCATAATTTAGAATATTTTAGTGCTAAAAAAATTTTTGCTAATGTGGCTAATGAAGTCTGGGTATCCACCATTTACTAGCCGTCAGTGAATTTGCAACAAATAATATTCAACTTTGTGCTAATTATATCTTTTCTAAGATGGAATTGAAAGTGATAAATTCAATGAATAAATTTTCTTGGCGCCGTAAATACAAACTAATGGTACAAAACATAAGAGAGAAATATTCTTACAGAGTACATTCTGAAGATGATTAATTTTTCCAAGAATCGATGATTAACAATCGATGATGGAAATCACACCGGGAATTGGAAGCCGTAAATAATTTGGCTCGAGGTGAAGTAATAAATTTGATAAACATCTTAGTGTCCCGAGGCTGAACTGCATGTCTTTCTTATTGGGATTAAACAATCCGAAGAGCTTTGGCTGGTTCAGCTTTAGATAAATTCAACTTACGGTGTAAGTACCCTTCGGTAAAGCACGACAGTATTGGATTAACAGCGGCAACAAAACCTACAATTGACAATTTTTAAATTTATTTGAGAGTCAAAACGACCTTTTTTTCCCCTTTTTAAGTGTTGGGAACTTGACTTATCCATGAACTTTCAAGGTGTTCACCAATTCGTTTCCTCCTGTGCGAGGAAACTTCTTCGAGAATTTTACAATCGCCTTGCAAGACAACATGATAGTTATTTTGGTGTAAGACATGTAAATTAGGGTCTTTCGTGTGCATGTGGTTTTAAACATTAAGTTTCAGACGCTGAAAGACAAAAAAAAATTCGGTCAACTCCCCCTTAGGCGCCAAAGCGGCGCCAATTTTTTGTAGAAAGCATACGAAAGTAACGTCTTCAAACTACTACCAAATGATGTAGACAAAGTGTATTTAAGGTCGAGTGGTTGGTTTGAAAAAGTTCAAAATAACATATAATGCATTTTCCAAGGCCACTACTCAGTTCAAATAAAAAAGATCTCATGATCGAAGAAATATCTGTTTATGCGACCTGGAGATGTGAGCGATTTAAGAAAATTTGACAAAACAGAATGAGGTTTAAGTTCAAAATCAAGTTGCGTTATCATTTGGTCAACCCACAGAATACCCAGTGAAACTATCAATTTTGATCAGGCCTACACGAGTGCCTACAGTAATGCAAATTATCCAACACAATATTAAATTAAAAGAGCTCTTTTGGGGGCGAACTGTGTACATTTTGGTGGTACACGACGAGACACAATGCCGGAGCTGACACTTAACTTCGAAGATGCCGATCTACTTTATATACAACAGCATTAAAAGTCGATGAGATGATCAAGAAAAAGCACGCAATTTTTTCGGAAAACTTTTCACAGGCAAATATCAACTTGAAACGAGAGGTAGCAATTAATACTCGTGAGGGGATTGTTAGTAATTATTACTATTTAAACAGCTTTAGTTGTTACCCCCAAGAAATAAGAAAGTTTGTCTTCTCTTTTATGTTATGTCTTGGAGGAGAAAATCTCGATGAAAGGAAAAAAAACGAAAGGAGGCGGACAATACTATTAATTCTTTAGTTTTCGCAGAAAGTATTCAAGGCTGGCCGACTTCTGAAAATTTTACCTCGAGGGAAAACTTAGCACGGATCGAATTTTGGTATGAATCGCAAGTATCTGTTAACTGTTTGAGCAAAATTAACTTTATGCAAAATTGGTCTCTTTATTGTGATCCGAAAAAGTAATTGAAATTAGTACGCTTCATTGTTAACGACTTAAACAGCCTCCATGCGCCAAATCCCTTTCCGTTTTATCTCACAGATTTTTTGTGTCTCCTTTCCGGTCAAGCGGCTAATTCCCAATCTGAGAAGATTTAATACACATACACTGCCGCTTTATGTCAGACGTGAAATCTTTTTATTACAAGAATTGTTATCTTGTTTTGAGACGATAACGCCGGGGAAATGAATTATAAATTTCAACCTCTCGACGTTTAAAAGCGACTTTACAATGACGGTCAAAATTGAGCACGGTTAATTTCTGTATAACTTACGATGTACGATTACCAAGTGAAATTGCGGTAATAACAGTCGCTGATTGATGGCAATGATTAGTCGTTTTCCTTAATATTCACGCAAAACAAGCAAATTTCATGTCTGAATTTGTTGTTGTCTTTCGTCACGATGGGACCACTGAACATATACAAACACACAAAGTAATGATTTCGAACAAAGAAAGCTTTCGACGACGAGCGGCTTAAATTTAACAGATTGCAGTCGCTTTCACACTATCTATAAAATAAATTTACAAGTTGCCTTTATTGTCGCTGCCTGCGATACTTAATGGCGAGAAATATCGTCACATTTTGAATAGATAAGTTTACATTACACCCAGTCTTAACAGTAATATCTAAAAATGATTAATTCTCAATTGACTTTTGGGCATTTCTGTGGGTTTAAGCCTACCTTTTATTATCCTTTTAAGCACGCACGGCAACTTTTACCATCAATAGAAAAAAAGGATATATGTGCTAGAATCACGACCTAAGTACAAGATTTGAGCTTCAGTTTCACAGCCTAGAGGGGATGATTTTAACATCATGTTCTTCAAAACACGGAGTTTAAAATTTCTTCTACATTTACAAATTACATGCCAGATTTTTCAGGAAAATGAACGCATTTCGTTTATAATTGATAAATCTAAGAGACATCATTTTTTAATCTGGCAATTATTGCATTTTTTTTCTGCAAGGGTTTGTCGCTGTTTTTGTAGATATTTCTAGCCCCTGTTCCTGAGTATACGGGATTATGCTGCTTAAAATACATTGAGAGATTGCAGGTGTACAAAAAGCAAGAAATTGCATTTTCCGCCTATATTCAAACCGAAATTAAGTCAGATGAATTTCATTTAAATTAAACTCCTAATGAGAGCTTCAAAATGATTTAGATTGACACACTTTCCTGTAGAAGAGCTAGCTTGGGTTTTATTTCATTTGTAATCCTTAACTGGAACGCCAAGAACTTGAATTACTATAATTTGCTAAATATTTATGAACGCACTAGTACTACGATTACAAAACGTTGTACTTAGTTTTGCCCTCAGATGAATTGAAATCGATCAAATGAATGTACAGTGTTGATCGCAGTTTAAACTTACCTTAATACTTGTGCTCTGGTTGGACTGAACTGAACGACCAATCGAGGTGCTTTTAGTTTAACCTTAAAATGGAAACTAAATCATTAGTTGTACTTACTGCAGAGAAAGATGAAGGTTAACGATTGTAGAATTTACACATGCAGTCACGGCATCATTGAAGAAATGGTGGGCTAAAAGATACCTACTTTCACTTCTCTATGGTCGTTTTCCAAAAGAGATGCACTCAGCAAAAACGACCATTAACAGCTCTTAACACTCTTTCTCCTCTAGGCAGAATTTACTGAATAGCCGATGTGAGTGGCTTTTAATTTCACCACCTCGCCGAACCGCTGTTTTGTTGAATTTGTCAACGCTGGCTCATGGAACCAAAACGGTAATGTTTAGAATTTGGCGTAAGACCCTCAAAAACAATAGGCATAGAAAAGACCTTTTAGAATGGCGAGTTGTTGCTTGCTTGTTAATGCGTTGCTCCGCTTGGCCGAGAACAGTAATGTCAACCTTAGAACGAAATTTCATTAACTTCGGAAGTTAGATTTCTTTAATAATTGCTTTCTTAATAACTTAAGTAAGTTAATTGTCAAGCCTGTCGCGTAGAAGACAAGTTTACTAGCAGGTGCTGCCTATGTGACAGCTCTTCAGAGGTCCTGTCTTAAATTTCGTTGGTGTTTTACCACACTAGCGTCATTTTTCTGCGATTCAGACAGAATGGCTTTGTGATCACTCAAAATACTTTTTCCTTCTTCTCGTTAAAACTAAGTTCTTCGAATATTACTCTGTACTGCGGACAAGAAGAGACTGGGTCATAAAAATGTCATTTTTCTTTTTTTTTCTTTTTTAATTTGGTCATCAATTATCGGGATAAATTGCGTAAATCGGTTTTTAAGGAAGAGAAGGGAATATTCGAAACAGGCATTAACTACGTTGTTAACACAGTGGTATCTTCACACAATTTACTTAATCGTGATCAAAATCTAAATTCTACGTATAATAGAATACATTGTCAAAAAGGCAGGCGAGGAGAATTGATGAAATTACGATGTACGATGTTGAAAAAGCACCACTCAATTCTCACAACTAACCTCGAAACAAACGAATGGTGACTTGTTAGGAAAAAATTATACGATTTGAACATGGATCGAGAACAGAAGCCTTTAAATCACCTGCCTTTGCTTCTAAAAAGCCGTCAGATGAGGTGCCTCTGCGGCGTTGCATTTATGCGGTTTTATGCGTTTATTATATCAATTAGCCCCAAGGGATATGAATTTTACACAAATTGAAACTAACAACGGCGATAATTGCTCAGCTTGTCGGCACAGTTTTGAAGTTCACGCTCGCTGTTCTCCGCTTGGGAACTTCTTAGCCTCAGTCAGTGTATTTACACTCACATCCCGCTCTTGGGTGTGTATTCATTCTTTGGAAACAGCCTGAAATTTATTTATAAATTGCTTCTTTCTTCATATTTTTCTTATTGTCATTTTCATTAATACCTTTTTAAAAAAAAAATCGATTCAGAGTTGTTTTGTCGATTGATAATTTGCTCCGAAAACTTACAGTTGAATTTATAGAAATCGAAAAAAATAGTTGTTTTTGAAGAAAGTCGTTAAAAACAATACTTTCCAAAAAGAATTTTAATACTCTTGGATTATCGAAAATCTGTATCGGGAATATTTATTGAAAAAAACTTCTGCTCTCCTGGTATCATTAAATATAATTTAAGACTTTCATAGAGACCCCAGCCGGCAGTCTTTTTGCCACAGGCGTTGAAAATCGTTCAAGAAGCGCGGTAGATATAAAAGAGAATTGGTAATTAAAACTTGTAAATTTGAACCTTTCTCTGGATTTTAAAAGGTGGCTCATTTTCCGAAGGGATTTAATTTTCCTGTTTGGTAAACTGTGAAGCCGCTTTCGCACACCTATATCTACGCATCAATACGTTTTATGCTAATCTATGAAAATATTGTGGAGGATGCGCGCGTAAAGCCTCTTGAAGCAATTTGAAACTCGTTTCAACTTTTGCGCCAAAAAATGGACTACTTGGAGATAAAATTTTTTAAGTCATCGACACCTTGCAGTCATCATGGCTAGAAACCAAGGAGCAAAATATAACATGATTGATAATGACCTTGTTATGAATAGATACTGTGGTTCCAGACCGTTTATTCTCCAAAAATATAAAATTATTGTTTGTTTGTATAAAAAACTCTAAAAATAATTTAATCTTTGAAATATGACCACAGACTAATATGTGTAATATGATTAATTTTCTTTTTTTCCGATTTATATATAAAAATCTCTCTTCATCTATGCTTCTGAGGAAAGTATACATAACAAACATATTCTCACAGCAACTCTTAGCAGCACCCGCGAAAACTAACCATGTTCGTGATTTATTTATAAAAAAAGAAGTAGTTAAAACAAATAGTGTCAATGGAATGAAAGCAATATTTCATGCCATGCGTTTGACACGAGAAATGTCACAAGTGAACCTTTCAAATTGCGTTTGCTTAGGCAGGGTACAGTGAAACAAAAGCTGTTAAACTGTCTCCACACCCTGAGAATTCAATATTAAACTTCATTTAACAAGAACAATACAAATTCCTCATAGCTCGGCCACTTATCGATACCGCCTTAAAGAAATACGAATTAACCTTTTGAAGTTTGTTCTTTATTCAGTGATATAAGCGGAGTGGCAGCGAGTTCTATCAATCGTCACATTAAAAAGCCATAAGGGCAAATATAATTTCATTTTCTCTTGGTAATCTTGATGACGATTTGGTAGTTACATTGTAAGTCTTTTACATTGTCTGTCATTCACAATGAAAAAATACCCGCGTGGTTGAATCGTGCGCTAAATTAAGCTTGGATAGAGTCAATAATAACTCTTTTTTTGGACAACAATGGATTACAATGCGCTCCTTTCTCTGCTCGACGGCTGGTTATAAAAGTATAACGATGACAGATTTTGGAATTCAGAGGCATCAGCCGCGAACTTGTCGCACAAATGCTTTTCTGTCAAGACCCACGCTATTTGAAATGACTGTATCATTGAATATTATTTGTTTGTTCGGAAAAAGATATTAGTGTTTATTTAGCCGCAATGTCTGCTTTCTTGTGTCCACATTGATTTACAGTTTGGCTCATCTAGAATGACGGCGAAGGGTGCGAAACATCCTCAGCTGGGTTTACTTTATGCAGATAGCTCTTCAAAACCTCGCACGGGAACTTTAAGCTCTGTTCGAGCTTTGCGGGAAGCAACAAAGTTTAACATGCTGTTATCTATCATATTTTAACATTTTGGTAATTTTTACTGGTTCTCCTTCACAGGATCCTCCTCAGTCATAGAATTGGGCCAATCAGAAATGCAATTTTCCACCTTGATCAGAATCACAAACTCTGATCAACCTAACTTTTCTCCTTAGATAGCTAGGTACGTTGTGAGAGTGACAACATGATCGAGTTGTGTTGGGTTAGCCGTTCTAAGCTTTCTACAAAGTGATTTCGTAACCATAATAACAAAGAAGCCGAAACGATCCCTAATCAATGACCTTAAAATCGTAGACGTACACATGAACAAAGCAGGAAAGCTTACTGCTTGGGAATCTTTCGCGTCTGAAATCACAGCTGAAACCGCATTAATAGTTATGACTGTAACCAAACTGACCTGTTTTCAGCACATAGATATGCATGTGTTAGGAAAAAAAAGGACCGTATCATCTTGCAACTCAATTACCTAGTGTGTAGCATCTTGTCAGGTATCCGTATCACAGCTTCGACTCGAATAGGCCACCCGTAAATGTCTGCAGTTTTAAGCAGATTTTGTGGTTCAGTTACGGTGACTTTGTTGATAATAATAGAATCCTTTCTGAAGCTTAGTATTATTGTTTTCACGAAGAAACCACCAGTTATCCTTTGTGTTCTGTCTTCATTTACTAAAGACTTTCTCCATAATGATTAGAGTATTTATGTCCGCAACTTTTACTTGTTTAGCGGCGTAGGCGTCTAAATGACACACTGAGCTCGACGAATAACAAGTGGCCGTAATACAAGAACCCACGCCTTTTCACTACTTATTATCCACGCCTGTCAAGAATTAGTTGCTCTTTACAAGGTCTTGGCGATTTCGACCTTGATTATCAAAGAGAACACTTTGAACTGTTAAATCAATTTTATTATCTCTTTATAGTCGTGTTAAACTGCAGTGCTATGTCACGGCCTTCTCTGACTATTCCGATTCCTTTGAGCATTCAATGCAAAACGTACTGTTTGTTTTACGCAATTGCCCCAATTAAGTCGTAAAACTAAGAACTTATATGAGTTACGCAGTTGCTCAACACATTGATACATCTGTGGCGTATTTTGGACATTTGCCTTCTTGAGGCCGTCATGTACACCTTGAATACAATAAAGCAGTTTTCTTTTGAGGGATTTGTTCATTAGCGCGAAAAGTAAATCATACAATCATCGATTCAGGGGAACATTTACCAAATCAGAGACAAAGTTACGTCATTCTGTTTCATTTCACTCTATTATAATCTTCCCTAAGTTAACGTGTCTTGTACTTCATGTCATTTTCCTCTGAGGAAGAATAATTTTTTTTACTGGTCCGCATGTCAGCATGCACACTTCCAGTTCTTTATCACGAAATGAAATAATTATCGTTAAACTTTCCGCTTTTAAGATTAACGTTGCAACTAAATTATACAACGTGACAGAGAAAACTTTCGCTAAAAATCCTTGATAAGGCAAGCTCAATCTTCCCTTTTTAATGTTTGTCGATGCATAGAAGTTAAAAAGTTACTTTAAAAAAAGTGGTTACCCATGAAAAGCAATTTCTTCCCCTCCTCTCCCCTTACTACCTTGAAACTGAGAAACCTCTTGTCAACTCATGTATATCTAGCATATAAACGCTGTACATGTATGTGGAATATACCTTCTTGCAATCTTCGCAAAGGAAAGAGAAACAAAGAAACTTTGGATATTTCACGAAACTCTTGCTTGGCTCAAAAAGATAATGATTAACACGATTTGTCATACATTATTGGAACGTCTTAAGTTCATTAATGGTTCTATTCATGGCTTGAAGCGGTTTGGTTTCTAAAGAAGAGAATGTTAGGTGAAGATTAGCCCTGCCTTCCTAAAGTCAAAATAAAGTTACAGAAATGCGCTGAATTCAATAAACCTCACCCGCCCGAAGTAGCGATAAGCAGTCAAGGGTTCTTTTCATGGAAACCGGTGTTTCCCTTTTCAAAGCTGTAAACACAGCTGAAAATTTTGTTTAAACTATGTACTTCATCATTTCCCTCCTTCATTGTATGTTTGCAGGTTTGCAGGTACAAAACGAGACATTTAGTACACGATTCACTCGACACGTTCAAAATCCTTTAAATTTGCGTCTTTCCTGACACATAACATGTTATGTAAGGGAAGATACTGTGTTTTTCGCCCATCAAATCTGGCATTTATGTATTCATGTTTGGGTAAACGGCTGCTTAAGGCCATGATGTTTATCAACACTATTTTTGACGCCCTTTTTCAGGTTGACATTTACCAACTTACAAAAGCGGAAAGTAGTTGCCGAGCAAACAGGGAACTAGAGGCTGCAAAATATTTACGACAATTTTGTTACACTTGATAATTCGAATAATGGCCAAAGCAAAATAACGACCACCTTTCAGCTGAGTCGGTCCTCCTGCTCGTGTTTTACAAACTTTTCTTGTGTTCTCAAAACATCCCGCGTAGGTTTTTACACTGACAACCCGATAAAATGTGAGATCTATTGCTTAAAGAGCCAACCTAATACATGAATTTTCGCGTGATGTTATTGGCTAGTTCATTCATGTAACGTAGTGCAAAGTCCAAGGACTATTCTTATGCAATAAACCTGGTCTGCGCCGATATTTTTCCTCTGATTATTTCCGCCAAAAAGGAAAGAAAACCAGCGGGAAAGAAGTGAGCTGAAGGGTTTCACCTTTTATCTTACATAAAAGGAAAACAAACTCGTTTTGGAGAGTAGTGAATTGGATTTTTAAGATCGACATACGTTTTTTCAGCTAAGTTTGAAAAGTACGTCGAAAAATAAGAACTAGTTGGCTAAAAAGCGCCAGATTTGCAAGATTCTAATCCAGGGGCCCGCGCAAATTTGTCTGGTTTTGGTTAAATCACAGTGAAAATAAAGTTACACTGAATGTAGTGAATCAATTAAATCTTCTTGCGTACGGCATTTACGCACGCCAAGAAGATATTTTCCCTTGCGCGCACCCGCTTTTTTTAAGAGAGAAAATAAACCTCTTTCTGGCTTGCTAGTATGTCGGCTGATAATTTCCTTAGCTTTAACACTTGCCCTCGAAGCCTCGCTTCTTGGGCAAATATATATTTCTCGGACAAACCCTCAGCTCAGAACATCATCAGCTGACACCTCCCCACCGTATTCATAGACGGGTGAATTCCTAAAGTTGGAAAGGAGTTTCTGATTATCATCTTTGTCGTTGCTATACTAAAGGATCAGCTTTATGTATTAGAACATTGTATATATTCTTGCGCAGATGTTATCCAGAAGTAGGAAAAAAAAACCTATCTGGGTACAAGGAATAATTGATCAAGAATCTCTCTCGAGGTGAATATCAGTTTTAAATGTGCAGCCCCGATGTATAACCGTTAGATGATTAGTTTTTTGAGTCTCCTTACCAAACATTTGCGCCTACATAACATAGCAATTGTGACGAATTGCCACCTATAGGAAATAGACATTCCTCTTATTCTTGGCAACTCCTTATACTCAGGTCTCAATGAATGCAGCTTTTGTAATGTATGCATATAGCACATCGAGTTCCCACCTATAGAAAATAAACATCTCTCGTAATAATTAGCAAATCTTTCTACTTAGGGCTCTATGGATTTTTTTCGCATATTACACAACAGCAATTTAGAGATTATGCCAAAATAAAAAACACGAACACACGTACGTCTTTTAGGTGAAACACCTTTTTTCCTGGGATTAATTGTGCTTTAAAAAGACGATTTGTTTTTAAAAAGTGAAACGATTTTAAACAGTACAATCTAATTTAGGAATGAGTTACAATTGGAAGAGCTGTAACATTTACGATAATAATCCTGTTCATCATTAACGTTCATTTCATTACTTGGATAGCAGAACAGAAAGGCGAACAGCAAGTCATTAAAAGTATTGCAGGTTACCTTAACTATACTTTGATTACTTACGCGCAGAGCAAACTTGTACCATTCCCTTCGCCTTCCAGTTGTTCTTGCTCTCTCGTATTGCAACCCTTACATGTGAGTCAGATACATTTGTATCATCCGTTCGATCAGTATTTCCTTTGTTCATTTATTTGTCTCGAATTCTCTCGATTGCTCGCAAACTATTGTTCTTTGTATTTGTGCTGACGCCTTTTGTTTGAATAAAACATGAAGCAAAAACAATCTGTGTTTTTCCTTGAAAAACACAACTGGTTGCTGTTTTTAAATCTCTGCACATACACTCTATTGTTGACGAAATAACCGTCAGTTAAAGATCTCAGTGAAAGAAAGATTCCGCTTTTATGTTTTTTTCCATCTTTAAGTGTGCGTGAAATTTCAATTTACCCTCCATTATCGACAATCGAATTTGCTGTCTATTCATTGATGAACATTTGCTTATGTTAAACTGAAAGCGTTATGAACGGGGTAGTCCACAGCTGGATTGACAAAGCTGATTTTGAAATTCAACATCTAGTGTTCCATTTTCCAAACATATCAATATCTGTTTAGTTAAGATGGTTTATCAATTCTGATCTTGTCGTTTGAATTGTTGGCAGTCTAACAATGTAGTCATTACAGCTTAATTTATGCTATCCTCTTTAGTTTTATCGTGCTAACACAATTGTCTAAGTCTGTAAACACATCTCTTTTAACTATTATTTGAAGAAACTACTTCACTTTCGAGCTATAAATTTAAAGACTTTTTTTGCTTTTTCAATTCGAGAGATTTTTGTGAATATTACCGGTTCATTTAAACTATTAATTTGTCGTAAATTTCATTTTGTAAAACTGACGAAATTTGAAATTCGTAAATGCATATTTACACTCTATTCAGCATCCTTTTGAGGCCATTGGCCCCAGACAAAAGGAAATTGATGAACAAGAATCGAGGTCTCTTAAGTCCTTCAATACAATACTTCTTTGCCCCTTTTCAATAAAGGTCATAGGCGATGACCGGATCAGTGTTCGCGGCCACATTAAATCCATATCCTCTCGTTGGAAGGGGGAAATGATGCTGAAAATCCATAGGACTTTTCAATCTTTTTCTTTTTTTATTGTAGAGTCTTTTACAAGAAGTTTCTCAGATCTTATGGTACCTGACGTAAACGATAGCTACTCAGTGAGAAGTACTTTCAAATGTTTCTTTCAATCATGCTGTAAAGAATAGTTGTAATCTTAGAGTCTGTAGATGAAAGCTGTTGGAGCGCCACCACCCAACTAAACGTAAATTTTCCCCCACAGAGAGGTTCTGAATTTTCATTGTGAAGGAGTGAAAATAAAATCATATGATGCTTTTTATCATAAATGTTGTAGAAAAAACAGTTAAGGGAAAGGAGAGAACCTCTTCTTGCTGCGACTATTAAAAAGTTGTCCGGACTCAATCAAGATATTCGTGGGAAACACGCATGAAATTTTTGTCATTTGAATGCTTTCACGTATGTTGATTGTCTGGGTGGAAAAAAATAAAAAGGAATATTCCTTAAAATTTCTCTCGCTCGTGATATTCATCGAGCAACTTATTCAGAGAATTCTTTAGGTGATGAATACAGAGGGTTAAGTTCATCCAACAATCCCTTATCCTCAATTTTTTGTCAGTTTATCTCTCAGAATGTTAGTCATGAGCACGCTATCAGTTCTGAACCCATATGGATTGCTTTTGATTTAGGTGATTATCTTGTCACTCTCAATTGACAGTTTATTTGTTTAACAATTAGGAAAGTAAACTGCGCTCCTCACATTTGGAGTAACTCAGGGCCACTTTTGACATGATGTCAATTAACGGAATGCTCGTGCACTAGCCTTGCCAATGCACTGCCCATTAAACTACTTTTAATTTTCTATTCACGACATGTATTATCTTATAGTATTGTTTTTAGCAAAACACAGAAGAAGAAAAAAGTTTGTAATAAAGGGCTTATAATGGAAGCTTAATGGCGTTCTCAATCCTTTAATTCCTTTGAAATTTCTTGTAAACTTCGTTTCGCAGCCAATATATGCGTTTCAGGCATATTCATAAGATCCTGAAAAATTTGCTTAGATAATTTCTTGGTTCAAGAGAAGAAGAGGAAAATTGCAGCTTGCTTTGCTTCATTGATGATTTCAATCTTGTGTCTGGTACCATTTTTGTTTTAGTTTCTACTGAATAACACTTTTGGTATACATGACTTTTTCTGTGCCAGCTGTGACTTTCTCATAGTCCTCACGTGGACTATACAAGCTTGTTTAGGTGGTGCATTAGGAGTCACCTGGTGAATTAAGTGAAATATGAAAGGAGTAGCAGGCCGTTGATTTCCCAGAAAAACTGATTACTTGATGTCATTTAAATTGTGAAAAAGAAAGTACATCCTAAAGAAAAATTACGAAAAGAAAAAAGTCATACAGGTTACTCTTAGTAAAAATAACGTTGCCGTTTCGTTTTTATCAGCTGAGTTCAATGTATTTGACGATCGACATTATCAAAAAGCCAGAAAGGGATGAAAACAGTAACGGATGTTTTGACATTTTTTCCCTGGACAGTCATAGATTAATACACTTGTTACTTTACACCACATTTACCTTGACACTCCATTAGACCCTTGCTCTAACCTCTAAGGGGAGAGAGCCTGGGCTGGGTTGTTCAGAGCTGAGTCAAGAGAACGCACGATTAGTGTGAAATCTAATATCAGCAGATCTGAAGGCTTAACCAAATAATCCAGAACAATTCTTTTTGTGTAGAATCTGATCATTGGGTACTCTAAAAATAGTAGAGAAAATTATCCCTAAAAGGCCTTTGCACAAAGGAATAAAGAAGCCTGGATTAAAATTTAACCTTAGGTTAGCGTTAGCCGACCTTCGATCAACTGGACTCTCAACACGTCATCGATACCACAAAGGATAACTCCCTTTTCCAAAGATTATCGTTCGTACACATTGGTTTGAGTCGTGGGCAAACTAGTACTGGATATGAGCTGGTCACCAAGGCCAAAACCCTCGTAAACGCAGGCACAAAACCCTTTAAGCATCACGTTGATTTTGGGGAGATAGAGAAGAGAATTTATGATCAAACTCTTGATCTATGAAAACCCCATAACCCTCTATTACTGAACTGAAAGACACCCGACTCAAACTACACTTATATTGATGCTTGCGGTTTCTAAAAGCGATTTTCCTCTAATGTTGTACATTTCGAAGTATTAACATTTAGGGCTGAATGGTATTCTCTCGTATGCAGAAAGACAATCCAAGGCTGTCCTTTTCCATTAATTTTTCTTGGTAATAAATACAGCAAAATTTTCCAAATAAACTAGAATTCTTTTCTTCGCTTGTGTGGAGTTCTTCACTCTCTGTCTGACTAACGTTGAATTCTCGTCCGAGCGTGGCCATCCATGCCATAATATTAAAATGGCTCTTAGACGGCAAGGATGTCATGTTCCTTTGCCTAACGCAATCCTAACGCAGCTAGAATTTTTGAACAGTTAAACTAGGTAACAATCTAGTTTGTTTAATTATGAAAACATCAATGTGTGGTTACTTACCAAAAAAAGATGGCTTTCCCTTCGGAAGAAGATTCGCCGTTATTGGTCTGATGAAATCTCTCCTCAGTGTAAGGCTCTTTCTATAACTGCCCCTTTTAACTAATAGCGCTGAAATGATTAAGTAATAGGTGAATAAATACCTCTGTTTCACAAGGAAGTAAACAAATGGACATTCAGATCAGATCAAACAAGATCTCTTATTAATGAAAGACTAAGAAAATTAGCTGCCAGTTAGTTGGAGAGGTATATAGACAGAGCCAGAATATACGAATCTTTTTTACATAATATTCTAAATGGTTTAGAGATTCTAAAAACACGCATTTGTCTGCTAAAGACTTGAAAACAAAACTGAGAAGACGTATAGACAATTTCCTATGTATAAAACGGATACATTGTTGATCCGATTATTACCTGACCAAACGACAAATGCGTTATAATTACTTAAGTCTGCGTAAATGAAAATCACAAAAATATGTAAAGAAAGCGGAAAATGACGTCTTTGAAAATATATGAGCAGTTCCAAAATTGATTTTATTTAACACTCATTCCATTAAGAGAATAAATAAAAAAGACTTTGGTGAAATGAAAATTTAGATTGTTTGGTTTTCCTGTCGGAAAAAAAACATATTCCGAACAAACAGTACTAACCTAAACGGTGAAAGATGTATTAAACTGATTCATCACGTAATTGCGTCAAAGCGTTTTGTAATGACCGATATGAATTATCCTCTCAAATGCTAAAAAATTTCAGTATTTTAGAAATGTAAGGTTTAAAACTGGATCATTTTAACAAAGAAAATCAGAAAGTTTTAAGTAAAAGATCGTGGCCAACTGATAACGTCACATTTGAATAAAGGATAAACACAAACGATGCATTTCGGATCACAAATTAATTTGTAACTTGCATCACGTGCTTAAAAAGAAATTAAGGGATATCCGTTAAATTTCTTATGGCTCCGAAATTCAGGCGACGTTTCTCATAAAACTGCCTTAATCTTGTTTAAGACGCTTTTCTTAAAATAAATTGATAAATGTGTGTATACTATAGAATAAAGAGTAATATATCAGTCAGGTTAACCAGTTGTAGAAATAAAAGAAAAACTTGATTTAAATAAGAAACATTTGTCATGTTAGTTCCTGGTTTGTCAAAATATGGAAATCGTTTGAAATAAGCTTCCTGTTTTGAGTTAACAAAAATCTTATCTACTGATACGGATAATTATTTTATAGGCTGAGGTAGATAATTCACAAACTATCTAGAGCGCAAGATTTGATTTTTCCTGCTGCAGATTAAATAGTTTTTGCTAGTCAAGCCAGTACTTTGATCAATTCAAATCTTTCCCAAACCGCAACATGATTGTGCAAAATTGCTTTAAACGAATTCCGAACAATGGAGTGGATCTGTTATTTTGGTATGGCTGAGATACCTGTGTTCTGAAATGGTTTCAAACTCAAACATATAACAAAATACAGTACAGGTACAAATGTTTCCTTTAAAAGAAGAGACAGATTCATTTCAGTAGCGCATTCATAGAAAGTAATTAGGAAATTTAATTTTAATAGCAGAGTGTGTTACAGATTGAATTCGAATAGATCAGACTAGCTCTTTCTTCGAAGTAGACAATTAAATAATCGTGTGATGATACTCATCTATGAAAGAACAAATAAGATTGTATTCAACCAACTAAATTTGATCCTCCGCTTTACTGCGTGGTCTCAATTTTCATCTGAATAAGAAAATTTCAAGCAGGCCATCCCGTTTGTTCCTTAGTTACATTATTAGCTTAAGTTAGCTGATATCA